TAGCTGGCCGCCTCACGTCACGTTATCCGTAACGTAATGAGATTTTGCGGCAGAATTGTGCATTGCGGCAACGCTTCATGCCACTGCCACCGCCCGTGTCCGCATCCACCTCCCTGACCATGATAAACCGCTACGATGCATGGCTTGGCATCTTCACTCCGCTCGAAGATAGAAGTGTTGTTAACTAGCTAACTACTAAGGTACATACATACATCCTCATAACTGACTATACTACTTAGTGTACTTTACATCACTTTTTGTTGGAGTATTTACAGTATCTCGAGCATTAGTAGTACACTGCATTACCTTACGTTACATTACCACATTACTTTACGTGGGATGAAAGCTCTATTTCCATGAACGTTTTCAATAAAATTTTTCCACCGTAATGACTTACATTCGCTTTCAGTACCCCCAGGCAGTGCTGTGAATTTACTCAGCGCTAATGCGCTCAGCCCCAGACTAAAGTTAAAGCCTAATTACGTTAAAGCCAAAAGACGTTGACTAAGTAGCTGAGCGCCAGACGGAGACAGTAGACACGAGATAGGAATGGAAATGGAGACGGAGACAAAATCCTGACCATCTTCTGGCAGACACCTTGTCCAAGTGGCCAGGCCACAGAAAGACTGGGCGACAGACAGTGAGAACTTATTCCCGCCCGCGTCATAGGGCAAGAATGAAGGGGCAGGAAAAAGGACAGGATGAGAAGAGCTTGCCATAAATTTATATCTGTCGGCAAATCTTGGCCCCAACTACGGCTTCGGGGCGGTGGCGGCGAAAACGTATCTGTTTATGCCTTGCTTCAGTTGTTGTTCTGGATGTTGGTAGAATACTAGGAGAGTATTGTTGGTCTGTGGCATTGTTTGCTGTTGGTGTCTCCTTGGCATTGTTTCTGGATTGGCATTGTCACTGCCGTCGCCAGTGCCGTTGTCGTTCCCGTCCTTGTTGGTCTTCCACGTTAATTGTTTCACGTTTAAACTGCTGTGTCCGGAATCCGCACTCCGGCTTCGGATTGGCAATGGCAATGGAGTCGAATGAGACTGGAATAGTAAGGCATAGCACTGGGACTGGGACTGAAAGTGAGGGTGCGGATAAGACGGGGAGCTCTATTAGTTTTAATTAAGCAGCTGAGCTGAGCTGAGCGTCTGAGCTAACTAATTATAGTGAATGTATAGATAGATTTACACTGCGGAGAAAAAATGCTACATCCGAAGCTTATTTTTCGAAAATGAATATATACATATCTTTAAATGGGATTGCAAACAGGAAACTCTTGAATGAGTTTAAATAGATACATATAACAATATTTTAAGCTTTTAGTTCGGGAATATGTGTTGGATATTTTTTAAGGTTGGTATTCTCCTCCAATGAGTGTTTTGAATGCTGAGTTCATTATGGACTATTAATCTCGAGTACACTGCTCTTGCTCCCAGATCTTAGACGGAAAGATTTTCGCCCAGTGTCTAAACGGAGAGCGGGCGATTCCCTGTCCATCCCATCCTGTCCAGTTTTAATCATTATAATTAATGTGCGCTTGTTAATAACAATTAAATGCGCTTTTTTTCTCCGTTCTTCCACTTGTTTGGTTCCTTGTGTTCCAATTCCAGCATCTTGGCGTTGAGCCGGGTCTGGTACTGGGACTTGGCTTTGGGATTGGGATTGGGTTTGGCATTGCCTGGCAACCCTGGCAGCACAATTAAGTATTAAATCAATACAATTAAAGCCTTGGACTTGAATTAACGCAAGTTTCATTTCATTTCATTTGGAATTTGGGATTTGGAAGGGCAAGATGGTGGGAAGGACGAGACAAAGGCAAACGGTCATATAAAAATAAACACAAAACAAAGAAATATTTCGAGAAGCACAAAAAAACAGAGCATACAAAAAGAGAGAAGAGAAAACTCCGTAGTGGTCGGCGACTGAAGGAAAGTCGACGAGACGACACTCTGTTCCTTGGAAGACTGATGTACCGACGATATAAATCGCATTCATGTTTATAAATCGACAGTAAATGGCTAAAAGCAACTCTGATGTTTCTGCAGGCCCTTCCAAAAGCGATATGGGCGGATAGAGAGAATAAGGGAATGGCGATCGATGATTCATCGAGGAAATGAGAGGTGTGTACGGGTAGAAGAGCAAAGCAGCTTGTGTTGATTTTCTTTTTATACCCGATACTGAAAGAGTATATGGGTGTTTTAGATTTGCGATGAAAATGGATTTAAAAAATATCCAACACATATTCCCGAACTAAAAGCTTAAAATATTGTTATATTTATCTATTTAAACTCATTCAAGAGTTTCCTGTTTGCAATCGCATTTAAAGATATGTATATATTCATTTGTAGGCCCCAGATTAAAGAATCTCCGACCCCATAAAGTTTATATATTCTTAATCAGCTTTAATAGACGAGGCGATATAGCTGGGCCTGTCTTTCTGAATGAGCGCCTAGGTCTCAAAGAGTATTGTGGCTAGAGCAAACAATTTTATGCAGTGGCGGAAGGGACCAAGATAAAACGGCTGCTGTTATTGTAAGGATACAAGAAAAGAGATAGATGTAAACAAAATTGTAAGAAATATAGAAACAGATCAAATCTAATATGATATAATATGTATACAAATCTCCCAAACGACTCGAGCGATTTTTATGGAATAATTTATTTGTCCACAAATCAATTTGTCCCTTTTTCCAACAGCGATACTACATATAAAATATATTGTATAAAATACAATAAGCTCACATACATACATATATACTGACTGAGTATCGGGTATAAAGGTAGTGCCGCGGCCCTTTCCACGGCTGACAACGTTCTCGCTCGTTATGTCAAAGGAAGAAAGCTACAGCGCAAGAGAGAGCGCAATGCGAAAGCTGGATTAAAACTTTTTCTAGGAACCAAAATTTAAGCCACACACAAGGATCCCATGCCGCTCTTCCCTTCCCTCCACTTCTGCTCCATCATCTTTGGCAACTAAATCCCCAGTGCGCGTCCCGCCTTTTATGACAAGCGATGTGGGCTTGGTGTCCAGGGTCTGGTGGGGAAGGAAAAATAAACGCAAATAAACGCACGTATTTCACAACTTTGCGCCACTTTCATTTTCATTTTGGCATTCCGCTTTTTTTTACCCCCTCTCAACCACTGCCAATAACAATGTTTGTGTTAGTAGCTGTCCTTTTTTCTACTCTTCGCTTCTCTGTTAGCTCTTTCTTGTGGCCTGCTCAATGGCGGCTAGAGCGGGAACGAAATTTCGCTGCTAATGGAAAATAGTAATTACAATAATTTCCTTCTCTGTTTTTCTCGCTGTCCGCCGCCTTTTTGCATTATTTATTTGATTCCAGGTGAAAAAGGAAAAGGCGAGACAACAAACCTACTCCTATAACATAACCTATAACCTATAACATTATGAATAACGGACTCTCGTCGAAGATAGAGCGGGACGACGCGACGGAACTGTTCGTTTTAACTGTTGCTTCCTCACTGGGAGAAATACGTAGACGACGATTGAGTGTGTGGAAATGTATCGTAATTTAAGATTAAATTTTAGCTTACTGGACACTTTAGCCTCGGCCTCTTCCTTCTTATGTTCTCTCTGCTTTTCCTGGGCTTATGCTATATTTTATTACTTTTAGTTATTTACTTTTTGCTTTGCTATGCTTCTCTCCTGAGGGGGAAAGAAGGAGAGAAAGAAAGAACGTTTAACGGGCAATTAATTCTTGGGAATCGAACGAACGACGGGAATGCTTTGATGCAGCTCCGCAGCGCTTTGGGCGCAAAGGAATGCAAGCCGGAATTGCGACGCCGGAAGGCGGATGGCAGAAGGCGGATGGCCGAAGGCAGATGAGAAAACTAGACTGTTGAAAGGTACAGTCTGCACTATTAAGTCTATGGTCTGTATGCACAACGCCGGTGATTGTGGGCAATTCTTTGGGCAACATTGCTCGAAAAATGTAATAAATTACGATTCGATAAATTCGAAATTCGATGGCGCATTGCAACGATAATCAATTGGCGTACAAACTCACGGGTTGGTTATTAATTTGTCAAAGTCAAACCAAACATGAAATATGAAATCCAACCCGAACAGAGTCACTTCGTGCGTCCGAATACCATATACCCATACGCCCCGAGGGCGATAAATACAAAATATTAAACTGGAAAACGCTGCGAAAATATCATCCTCAAAATGGCATCCTCCCCCGCAATCAATTGAGAATGGATATGATTGCAAAAAACAAATGAACAAACAAAGAAACAATTTATATGACAGTTCTGTGGGAGGTTCAAAAGGACAGAAAGTTATAGCGGTAATATACGGAGGGAGTGGGAATGTGTATGTGCCGTGTCGTACATATTAATTCCAATTTGCAACTCAATAATCGCCCCATTCCCGGAGCAATAAACTCAGTCAGAAATCCCAGCAACGGCAAATAATTCTCCGTCTACGTCCCTCTCCGGAGTTTATGCATACATATATGTATGTATACTTTTCTCAATTAAACTAAAGCGGAGGAATCTTTGTACATTTCCTGTCTAACCCCACCGGGAGACCCGTGGCACCCGTAACACCATAATGCCGAAAAAAATAGACAAGAACAACAATAAGAACAGAGCGGGACTGGAGCGATGCAATCAAATTTATGATTCTTCATGGATTTTACTTTCTTGTCACTTCGCATTTACCCGTAATTTATGCGCTAATAAAAATCGTAAAAAAAAAAATTTAAAAAAAGTACGAGTACGTTTAGAACATGGCTTGGCTTCACGGTTCACGGTTTCAATATTTGACATCACAGGGGAAAGAAGCAGCAGTTTATTTCACAGCATTTTTTACGCTCACTTTTTAGGTGTTGGAACAGAAAAAAAATAGGAAATGGTTGAGCAAAAAACACACAGTTTTACAAAACATTTAGAGGCTGCATTTTTTATTACTATTTCGAGTCGATATATTAGTCTCGACTCGTCTCAAACAACACTTTTTTGCAAGAAGAAATTCGATTTACCTATAGTGCCGGAAACTCGGTGAATTTATGGTATTTTAGGTTGATTGTCGCTCGATTTTCAGTTTTCGATTTTATTGGGCCGATTCTCAGTTATTTTCGTGGAGTTTTTAGGATGTTTTGGTTCGTCATACAGCGTCTCCGGATTCGGTAGCAGAGTCCAACTGGTTGTCGCGGTGCTGTTCAAAGCAGTGGTGGATGGATGCGTCGGAGCAGTAGCACAGGAGAGCCAGTGCCGTTATTGTGGCCAGCAGCAAGGACGATGAACACGAGAATGAAAGACCCGAATGACGTACGATGGCTACCATGGCAGCAGCAGCAGGCAGCAAGCAGCAGAAGCAGCAGCAGCAGAGCCGACGACCCACGAGGACCGCATCGGTCTCAATCTGGATGAAGAGTGGAGCTTGTGAAAGGGGGTGAGGTGGTTCGTTTTCGCTTTCACTAGTGCCTTTTGTCTTGGCTTTATAGCAAGATATATCGAATCGAATGGTAAGGCCAGCCGGGTTTCATTGATATCATCCATTCATACGTATGCCTGGCTGCCCCACCCAACCAACTTGTGCCTTAGCAGGTCTACTACCAACACACACTGTCACTTTTCTTCGTGCGAGTAAAAGTGCCGCTACGACTGAGGAAAGCTCCCGCTGGGCGGCGCCACCAATTAGAATATTTCTCGCAAATTAAGCAAACACGAAAAATCTAGCCAAAGTAAATAAAAGTTGGCAGCGCACTTTAATAAAGTTGACCACACCCCACGCCCACACACACACACACATGGGTTAGAGGGACGTAGGCGGTAGATGGAGATGAAGGGTTTTTCATTAAGCAGATTTTGGAATTTTGCGCTTTGGGTCAACAAAAGTTTCAGCTCTTTGTTTTTCTTCTCTATGTTTTTTTAGATGAGCCTGTGAAGGGAGGAGGGGGAGCAGGGTGGACAGAGTGTATGCCTCAGGTGAGCGAAAGCTGGGAAAGTTTTCAATTTAAATGCAGATACCACCCGAGAGAGAGACAGCAGAGAAAACGGGAGAACTAAAGAGCTCTCTTGATCGAGAAAAGAGGATCGAGAAAAGTTTTTTCCGTGGAAAGTGGAAGTGAAGCTAAAGCGGCAAGGGCCGCGGGGCTCTACTTTCAGCTACCACATCCAGAGATCAAATAAATTTCTGTGGACTGCGGCGAGCTTACCCCGGCCGTAGCGTCGTTACACCGGTATTCAGTATTGCGAAATTGTGAAAAACACTTGTAGCAGTTATCGGAGTCTGGATAAAAAAAAATTATTTTTTCTAGCTCTTATAGTTTCTGAGAACTGGGCGTCAATCACGACGGACGGACAGACAGAATTTGTAGACTTAGTGGGATCCGAAAGTCTTGCTTCTGGGTAAATCATAAATCTAAATCGAATATACCCATAAACTCTTTGAGAATCGGGTATAAATATAGCAGAACAGAGTATAGAAGAGGCGGCAAAACCATTATCAGAGAGTGTTTTCTCCGATCGCATCCCCAAAATAGAACAAAGAGTGGAGAAGCGACCGTCAGCAGAACGCTCCATCAGTGTGGATCTGATTTTATAATGGATTTGTTGTTCCTCAGCCGGCGCATATTTTTGGGCGACGGCAGTCACGAGGCGCCCCTCCACGGCGGCATCGTCGTCGACACACAGGGCATCATCCGCCTGGGTAAGTGTCCGTCTCAATCACTCTCTCTCTCTCTCTCTCTCTTTTCACTTTTTAACCCTCTCCATTTACTTTACAGTGCTAAGATCTCCCCAAGAGGTCAATTCCTACCTGTACAACATCGAGTCCGAGGCCGTGTATGACTTCGGTGACCTGGTACTCATGCCCGGCCTCATCGACGCTAATGTCCACATCAATGAGCCAGGGCGGAAGGACTGGGAGGGCTTTGTGACGGCCACCAAGGCCGCTGCCGCTGGGGGTTTCACCACCATCATCGATCGTCCTTCCAACGCTTCGCCCCCCACCATCAGTGTGGCGAGCCTCAAGGCCAAGACGGCTACGGCTCGTGGGAAGATCTACGTTGACGTGGGATTCTGGGGCGGCATCGTACCGGGCAACGGTGACCAACTGGCACCGCTGCTTGCAGCCGGCGTCATGGGGCTACAGTGCACCCTCTGCGGCTCAGCGCCTCCCGTTGGCGAGGAGTTCCCTTCCATAGACGGGGCACTATTAGAGGAGATTCTGCAGCGGCTCGAAGCAGAGAACGAGGACGAGGGAGTTATTGCCGTGAGTAGTGGATCCAGTAACTCCCTCGGATTAATTCTCATATTCCCAGGTCCATGCCGAGCTGCCGCTCGCCGTCGACATTCCAGTAGACGATGACGCAACCAAGAAGTACGACAGTTTCCTGGTCACCCGTCCGCCCGCCATGGAGGTGGCCGCGATGCAGCAGCTCAGCCGTCTGGCCCAGCGCTATCCCCGTCGCCGCCTGCACGCTCTCAACGTGAGCAGCGCCGAAGTCCTGACCACGGCAGAGGCCTGCCAGCGAGCGGGCGGCCAGCTGACGGTGGAGACCTGCCCCCACTACCTGGCCCTCAGTGCGGAGGAGGTCCCCGAGTGCGGAACGGAGTTCAAGACGTGGCCACCCATTCGGGAGCGGTCCAACCAGGAGCGGCTGTGGCGGGCGCTGCGACCGGGCGGGGTCATCCGGATGATCGCCAGCGACCACTCCCCAGCCACACCCGGTGTCCGCTGCCTCACGGGCGGCCGGGGTCGTGGCAACTTCCTTAAGGCCTGGCCGGGCATCAACTCACTGCAGCTGTCGCTGCCCGTGGTGTGGACAGCAGGGGGCGGTAGAGGAGGAGCCCGTGATGACCTGCCGCTGTCCCTAGCGGATCTCCACCGCCTGATGTGCTGGCAGCCGGCGGAGCTGTGCGGCTTGGACAGGTTCAAGGGCCGCATCACTGAGGGCTACGACGGCGACTTCTGTATCTGGAGTCCTGAGGAAGAATTTACCGTCGCCCCGGAGGAGCTCTACACCGCCACCAAGGCCACGCCCTATGCGGGCCGCCGACTGCGAGGCGTGGTACATGCCACGGTGGTGCGTGGCCTGCATGTTTATCAGCAGTTCGAGGGTTTCGGGCAACCCCTAGGGAAGGTCCTGTTGCGGAAGAGCAGTCGTAAGGTGGTCAAATTCGTTCGAATGTGATGAGGTGGACACGAGAGGAGGGATGGATGCCCTAGGGCGCAGAAGGGTGTACGGGGTAAACTTTGTTAATTAAAAACATTAAAAGATTGGGCTGGAATCCTTCACGCTCCACGCTTGACTTACTCGCGTGTCTTGGCGTCTTGGCTGGAGATGAAGATGGAGACGGAGAGACGTGCAACAAGTTGTCGCGTGGCAACGCTGAGTAAACATGACACCAGGCACTGACCCCACATTCCCCCACCACCATGTGGGTACACACCCCTCCGTCCCTACCAAGCATATGGATGACAGCTTAAGTTTGCTTGCCAGGCGTCAAATCAATTTCAATACTCTTCCCGAGGGGGTGGGTGCTTTTCTTTTGGCCAAATGCTCACTCATTTCTAGTTATTCTTGAGTGAATAAAGGTACAGAAGACAACCTGATAATTTCAAAATTGTTTTACAAATAAATAAGTATATGTACTTTACAAAATGAATTGCAATTTATTACGTACGTATATGCTGTGCTTCACTGGAAATCAATACAAGCATCAGAGCTCTGTAGTTAATATAACAAAATTTGAAGTCAAATTACTGAAACGATCGATTAGTAAGTGTATCTTTGTCTTCGTTATGGTTCTTTGTCGCAGTTCCTCTGCGTGTGCGTGCATGTTGTCTTAGAAAAGTGTGGGAGTGAGCCATGAGACGTGTTTACCTAAGGAAGGGCCTGGGGCAGTCGCTTTGGAAGAGGGCGCACTTTTGGATAAGGTATACGGTATGGATAGGTTTATGCCGTGATTTAGCTCAGTGAAGAGTGCTATCAGGAAGACAGAAAGAGGAAGAGAGAGAGATCAGGGAGATTTTCGTAATGAGCTGGCAGGCGGCTGTCAATCAAGGACGACGACCCACACATAAACCGTTTTGTCTCTGTCCTCCAGTTTTCCGGTGGCGACGGGTCATGGCTCCGTGCTAACAAGCTATTTTCATCGAAAGGTAAGGTGCACTTCTGTTATGCAGAACACCGTAAAACCAACCATGATTTTAAGAACCCCTTCGGCTTCTTGATGTGCCGCAAGTTCCTCCTACTTCTCTGTCTGGTGACCGTGCGATTTTTTTTTGTTTTCCTTCACTTTACTCACTTTTTTACTCTGTTTGTTTGTGTCCTGCCTATTCCTTGCGTCATGGACACCCACGCTCGGAGTACGGCTCGAACGGCAGCGTCCGCCGCTTGCGCGGCTTTATTTAACTTAACCCCAACACAGGGGTGTCCCATTTAACCCTAAAGCGGTCGGCTTAAAGTGGCTAAAGTGTAACAACTGGAAAAACAACTTGTTTTTCTCCAGGAATTCCTGGAACTGTGAGCGTATGTATTTTTTTAACAACATTTACAGGGAATTCCACTGACTGACTACTGACTAATGGTGTACATACAGTGGATGCGGAGAGGTTGCTCAATCTAAATCAGCTTAATAAAGTCAAAACAGACGTTGTCATAGACATTTAACAATTTCACAGCTCCATTTCTGTGAAAGCAGCTGTTTTCGTTCATTTTCGATGCAGAAGCAGTTCACTCTTTAATGCAAAATTTGTTTGAGAAAGATGTACGGATGATAGAAGCACGTATCCCATATCAGGGTTAACGACGCTGCTTTCCGCCTCACTTGCTATGAAGAAAGACAGCATGGAGGCGTGTCCATTTTTCGGCAATACTCGAGTTGGTGTGCAGCTTCCCCATTAAAAAAATGCCACAAGCAGATTACAATTTCCAAGTACATTTACCCCCGTGATGTAAATGGAGGGAAGTGCTTTTGAGTGTATTCCACCTGTCAGGGACAGACTAAGGCAGACCAGATTTAGCCACGCGGCGTATGCTGATGCTCAGTAGTAGTTCATCACGCATACGCCGTGCGCGCCCCCCTCCACCAAGGACACTTTTGTGAGAGCGGGTTAGGGGGAGAGGTATGGAAGAAAGGTATGCATGACGCATACGCAGTGCCACGTGAAACGGAATCTCCCATCCCGGGGGGCCAGGAGTGGAGCCAAGAGTAATAAAGACGTTACATGTTTTTACCTCCGATTTCAAGTAGGCCCTGAGAGACGCAAAAAGCACCGTAAAGTATGCAGTGCTACACAACGGGTTAACTGGCCCTTAACTGAGTGTGCGCAAGCGAGTCGGAAAGCAAGCGGCTTGCGCTCTCATACGACATAACTGTACGCTAAAGCGATAACGTAATGAAAGCAACAACATCACACCGACGACAGTACAAGCAGCAGATCGCCTACGTATCCGAGCGATGATAGCTGTCCCGCTTTCACCTACACATGCCGCTTAGATATTTAAAAATATATTTTTACACCTCGTGTGTGTGCGTATGCGAGTTGTGTGATGCGGGAAAAAGGTGAGTAAGAAGAACGACGACGTCGGCGCTGACGCTGACATTGACGTGGCAGCGATAACGTTGCTGCAGCACATAACAAAATTACGAAACAATTCGCCAAGAACTTAATGTGAGAGAGAGCAGGAGCCATTGAGAGCAAGAAAAATCCAATCATATGCTCGCTCAGCTGTAGCTCTGCTCAAGGTACATTGAATAGAAGGTAATGCCTTCCTCCTCGTCAGGAAACTCGGTGTGTATGCAACTCTCTCTCACTTTCTTTTTTTTACGCATAGATGCTTGCTTGCCTAATTCTGAAGTAGCTTCTATGGCTGCCTTCCCGTCTACATAATATACCTTGTCTTTGCAAAGCTACTCCCTCTGCTGCTGGTGACGTGTGTGCGGTGGGTCGACGTCGACGTCTCTGCCTCCGTCTCCGCATGGGCACCGGGCACACGGGCATGGGGCACAGTCATTGGCATCCCGTCAGTATTGCTTTTCAGCAAAACGAAGCGAGGCGGCAGCAGCAGCGAGCAGACAGTCTTCCTCTCTAATAAAAAACCAACAAAACTATCGGCCATCAAAACAACAAATCTACCGTTCAAATAGTCGTCGCGTCACTGTCGACGCCGGTAGCAACAACAACGCTGAAAAGGTGACGAGTGCTAATCTACAGAGAGAGAGAGAGAGAGACTGCTAGAGAGGTAGCAAGCAGAAGAAGCAGATCTAAAAACAAATTTAAGCGCCAAAAGAGTGGCATTCTAAGAGTAAAACAACAACAGCAAAAGCAGTATTTTGTATTTTTTTGGTTTCAGTGAGAGTGTCAGTGCCACCATGTGTTTGTGTGTGTAATTTTTGCGCTTTTAGCCTTTTCAAAATATTTTATTTGTGTACAAAATTAAGCAAGTAAATAATTATACATAACTTTGCCGCTGCTCATATTCCATCTCGCTCATGCTCTCTATTTCTCCCATAATGTGTGCATATATTCGTGTATAATTGTATTGTAATCAAATACAAAATCTAAAAAAATAATACAAAAACTTGACGTAATCGCAAAAATGCAAAACAAAAAATGTAACGAAAAGGAAGCGAAAAAGCAACAGGAAAAGAAACAATAACAACAAAGATTACTATGCTTCTGTGCTTTGCTCTCTATCTGCTTCGATTCCCCACTTGCACTGAAATGCAGCCCTGCCTTCTGCATTAGTGTAAACGAGACAGAGGGAAAACACACGCACACAGACTTTTTTGTACATGCATACACATGTGTGTTTTGTTTGCCGTTATGCAAAGATTTCATTGTTATTAGTCAGCAAAAGCAACAGCGAAAGCAACAATAAACATCAAAAGAGCGGGTAAGCGATAACCAGAAATATGTACCGGGGAATGCCCAGAGGGGGGAGAGGTCTGTAAAGAAACCTGCCATCGCGCTCCCATATGTACATACATAATTACATATGTTCATGCATACATTTGTTTGAAGCGTACGATCCTCAATGAACGCCGATGATCATTGGGAGCGTCAAGTGGATCAGAAGATCTCTTGGGCGGAATCCTCTCTACAAATTATGACTTTGTGGGGTAGATGTGCATCACTGCCCTGCGACATGAGCCGATACGACGATAAGAGCCCCCTGTTAGGACAGTCATTACCTTGGCACTGCACCATTGGAGTTGGAGAGTATGTGGCGCAGATAACTGGTAGGTCGTTGGAACCGTTATTACCTTAGTAGTGAATCGATCAAGGAAACATTTACACTTCTTGCCCGGTACCATCCTCCGTCAAGTACCAAGGCCTAATCTGTCGCTCAACGGGTTTCAGACCCATGCATAATTAACCAACAAACAACCACATTCTGAATAGCTGATAACGGTGGCCCCAATTCCCACTGATTACGCTTAGGATAGGTAGAATACAGTAAGCGCCAGCTGTATTATCAAAACTGTTGGGTCGTCTTGATAATCCCGGGATAAGGCTTCGGTTTGACTCCTTCTCTTCACATCACACTTATACCAAAGCTTAACAGCACCTGTCGTCAATTATTTGGTATCGCCCACTCACTGTGGTCTTTTTCTTACACTTGCGGTCCTTGTTCTTCTTCGAAAGAGAACGCCTTTGTCCATGAGAATTACTAACTGTTTCTTTTTTTTTTTTTAATTGCACATTCATTTAGTTTTAATTAATTCAGACAAACAAGCAGAAATACAGAGAGGGAAAGCAAAAAGTGAGAGATAAGAGTGCAGGAGGCGTGTGGGTGGTGAGGAGGCGGGATTGAATGCCCAACACTAACGCAAATGCGAAAAACGCAATGAAAACCGACTAAAAATAAATAATGCTGACGTCAATATTGCGTAGGAGCGTCAGAAGAAGAGAGGGAAAAGTAAGAGAGCGAGATGGAGCGAAGCTAAAATCAGAAACCAAAAACAAAATTCAAAAGTGATTGAAATTTATGGAAATGCAGCTACGGCTACTCTGCCGCCGTTATGCTACTGCGTACGAGCAGGAATAGTGGGTGCACCGACGCTTGAATCCCCTTACGCGGAGGCAACTTTCCGTAAAATGCATACATACATATGTATGTACATCGAGAGTAAAAAGGTAACATATGTACACGCAAACAGGCAGAGTGTAGTCCAGCGGTTTTACTGTACTAAGACCAAACCCAATTACCCAGTGATGTCACCTGTTGTAGGACAGGTATCACCAACAGCCATGAGTCAGTCGTAGTGGTAGACAGCACGGCGTGGTTTTGAGCCACACAGAAAGGCAGGGTACCCCACAAGTGTCCTTCCCCCATCGAGTGTTCGAGCTGCGACGTAATTAATGGCAATTATTATATCACTAATCAAATGGATTTACATTTGTAGTTCAGATTCCGTCGAGCCCGGCTGACAGTACTTCTAGAAATCGCACACACAGCGCCCTAGCATTGAAATCAGTCATTTGCAATTGCGGCTAGAACAAGTTGCTAACACTCACTTTGATAAATGCACTAATTAGTCATTAAGCCGAAGCTGTTACAGGCCCCGCTTTTTTTTTGTGCGCCATTACGGACAACAGTCACACATTGGGGTCCAGGTGTAGGCGCAGTCATTTGATTTGAAACATTGTCGCCAAATTTTTTTCCATGTGACGTCATATATTGCTCATAGGGTTTTTTCTGTTGCTAGTTTTTCCTGCATCTAAATTTTCTGTAATTAAACAAGTCAGGGATATAATAACTTGAATTACTTAGGTCTAGCAAAAATGCATCTGGCATCGGCAGATATGAGAAAAATATTACAGCAGTGAACCGAAACAGCGACTGGCATAGTGTGTGTTCCAGCCCGAGTAGCAGTCACAGTCACTGCTGTGCCATGCTGCTCATCACTATCTTTTCGATAAAAGTATTGCCGCAACGCGCTAGTGCTTTGCACGAAACGCATTAGGCAATTTATCGTCAAATCTCTCTGGTAGTTCTGGCAGTGAAGACGCAGCGCGAGTGAGAGCGAGCAAGCAATACTGGGAATATTTTTGCGCAAAAACTGAGTTTATCAATAAATTGTTGTTAACAATAGCAGTTTTTGAGCCGAGCGCGTGTGTCAGAATAGCCTAAAGGCAAATTCAATGAAGTGGCCATCGAGTGGCGCCGCCGCCGCCTGATCAACGTTAGTGTCAGAGAGTGGCTCTCGTTGTGAAGAAAAAAGAACGTAAGCAGCAAAGAAGACAGAGCAGCAGCAACGATAACAACAGGCCTAGTGTGTGCTGCCAACTTGTCGAGCTGCCACCCCTCTCCCCTTCAGCAACCTTTGGCAGTACATAGTATTAATGCTTCTGTATTCTATTGAGCATTATTTAAAAAATGAAGTACCAAAAGCTGCTGGGTGTATATATTCTGTGAGCGAATCTATTTTGTGTGACGTGACGTGCGGAATAGTGAACATTTTTTCAACAAGTTGCCAGCACAGCGTGCAACGCGCGCACACACACACACACACACACACACACACACACACACACAACAACTTATACACAGAGCACCCCAAAGAGAGGGAGAGCAGCAACAACAAGCGTATTTAGTGATGTCATCAGAAAGTAAGTTGATTTTTTTTCTCCTCACTATGTTGTCATGACGTCATTTCACAAAAATACACAGAAGTGGGTGTTGTTGTTGCTGTGTCTCTATGGCAGAATTCAATTATCATTAACATCAGCATCATCATCATCATCATCATCATCATCATCATCATCATCATCACCATCACCATCACCATCGTCATCGTCTTGGGTGGACAAACAAAACAAAAGCCAACAGCAGTTAAATAGCAGCTTCAGCGAGACGAGGGGCAGTCCGTCCACCAGTCCATCAGTTAGTAATTAAATAGTTAGTTTCTTGGTTAGTTGTTGCTGCAGTTGCACATACATATGTGGATATTAACAATATTGTAACTGAATATCTTGTCGGGCTCCCGCCTCTTGCAGTCGCTGTTCCGCTTAAAACAACTTCAAGCTGGCCAAATTGAAACGGAAACGGAAGCCAAACTGAAGCACTTGTCGGAGAGCGTAACGGTGCTGCTGAAAATCGCTAAAATGGACAACAGCATCGTCGTCGAGGAGAACGGCAATTCGGCGTCCAGCGGCAGCCTGGACCTCATCACAGCCGCGGCGCAGGCAGCGGCCGCTGTAGCTGCCGCAACGAGCGCCGCGCAGCAGCAGTCACAGAACCCACAGAGTACAACAGCGTCAGCGGGAAACACAAATAATTCCGCTGGAACGGGTACCGTTCTGACCACGACGGCTAACTGCAATTTACAATACCCGATGCAGCCGCTGGCGCAGCACGGCCTGCAGGTGGGTGGCTTTCCACAAATTGCATCCCATCACAGAGGCGCTCTAATGGTTCCTTTCTCTTTGCCACCCTTTGCAGGTACAATCCGTGATACAGGCGAATCCATCGGGTGTCATACAGACAGCTGCCGGCACGCAGCAGCATCAGGCGCTAGCCGCCGCCGCCGCCACCGCCACAGCGATGCACAAGGGAGTGGGGGCTGTGTATGTGGCCAAGCCAGCCAACTCTACGGTGATCCACACAACAGCAAGCAATGCAGTGCAAGTGCGTAACAAAGTGCGTAGCTGGAAAACTTTGAACGGGGCCAGCAGCCTCTCTAATCTTCATATTCCACTCCAAATCACAGATCCCTCCAACTTTTCCATGTAAGATCAAACCCGAACCGAACAGCCAGCACCAGGAGGACAGCGACGAGAGTTTGTCAGACGACGACTCGCAGCACCATCGGAGCGAGCTGACACGGAGGCCATCGTACAATAAGATCTTCACCGAGATCAGTGGACCTGATATGAGCGGTAAATCCTTGGCACGACACGACATGCCACGCTATCACTCGCTCACACACACACACACACACACACACACACATCTCTATCGCTCTGTTGTCTCTCCCTCTGTCCATAAACACATGTAACCACCTGCCTGCCCAAACTCCGATCTTTCGCCATCGCACCACATGCACTGCATCGCGCTACATCGATCATTAATCGATCCGATAGAATCCTATTCCATATCTATACATACATACATACATATGTATAAAATATTGATTATTAATTTGTATATATGTACATATGTAGATAGACTTATCTTCTCTACGTATTTCACTCATTTGCCCATTCATTCGCACTCGCTGACCAAACCCCATGTACTGTTAGAAGAGGCAGCCATACAAGAGTGAAATCGTAGCCCCCGTTAGTCTTGTGTCGCGCCATCTCTTTCTTCCCCGTTTCTTCATTATCATTTAGTTGTTGTTGGATGTTGATGTTGTTGTTTAATCAAGAATCAAAATATAAATAAGAAGAGAGGAAGGAGAGTAAGCAACCAGTCGCCCAACTGTAAATTCCTGTAAATATGTAACCACATCCCATGATTCCCATAACGCACAAACCTTGACACGGGAGCAGCAACAGAAATAGAAGGAGATATGTTGTTGCTCTCGCTCCCACACACTTTATCGGTCTCTTTTTTTCGTTGTTGTTGTGGTTGCTGTTGTTGCACACCCTGCCCCCACCCCCACCCTTCCAAAAAGTATGGCTCTCCCGCTTCCTCAAGGTATATTAAACAGAAGAAACACGGCAGTCATGTTCTATTTCTCTCGGACTGCGGACGACCGCTGCCTTACACTTCTGTTTGATATACGAAACTCTTCTCGTCACCTCCTAACAGCCAACTAAAATCAAGGAATCAAATCCCAAGCCAACCTCTCGCTCTTGTATCCTTTCTCTATCTCACTCTTGACTAACTCCCCAATATCGCCCGCTCTCACACGCACTCACCCAACCACCTCTCAGACATAATCAACAACAAAAAGATTCAAAATTCAATTCAAAAATCTGCAACGAAAATCGCAATGGAAAATATGTTTTTCTTATAATTTTTATTGTTGTTTTTCTTATTGTTTTCTTTATGACTGCCTCCTCCTACTACTCCAAAAACTACTCTAAATTCAATTATGTCCAAAACAAAAACTGCGTGCATTTTCCAACCAACAACCGAAACAACAACTGCAACAACGAAAACAACAACAACCTCCCCCTCCAACAACCAACCAACAACAATTCCAACTATGAACCAAACCCAAAACCCCGATCGGTCGATCAGGCTCCTCGCTGCATTTGGGGTCCGATGGGGTGCTCGGCTCTCAGCTGGCGGCAGGCGGAGCTGGCGGCAACTCGGCGAACAGTCCACTACTGCACATGGCCCCGGACCCAGCCTACTATTTGTCCAATCGGATACCCTACAACACCAGTAATAACCAGAGCCGAGGCTCCGCCATTCTCTTCTCCATCCACATGTGAGACATTCCCACAGACAAAACTAATTATTTTTTCCTTCTCTTTTCCATTTGCATGTTCCAATTTCCATGTCTGTTCACAGACAACAGCGGCATAGCGGAGGATCAGACGCGCAAGCGGGAGATCAGACTGCAGAAGAACAGGGAGGCGGCAAGGGAGTGTCGGCGCAAGAAGAAGGAGTACATCAAGTGCCTGGAGAATCGCGTGGCGGTGCTAGAAAACCAAAACAAAGCGCTTATCGAGGAGCTCAAGTCGCTGAAAGAGCTCTATTGTCAGACCAAGAACGATTGAATGTGGCCTTGGCTGTGGCTGTGGTCATGGCGATGGCGATGGCAGCGACGGCAGCAGCCGCGGTGGCAATATCGACGTTCGAAGACGAGTCCCAATGGCGATGGCAATAGTCGGCCGCATATCATGATTTACATACGTATAGTAGAATTCTATATGTAATCGTACATATATACTATATAGTGCAATGATCATGTTCTTGTTAGGACAAGTACACTGTAGCGAAGCGAACCGAACAGCCTGACAGAGCAAACAGGCGAACGGCGACAGCGACACGAGCAGGACACAATGTAATTATGTTTATAATTTAAACTTTAATATTCTTTTTATTCTTTAGTTTACGCCTTAGTTTATTTGCTAATTTAACGGAACTGCAGTTTACCTATCCATGTCCCCTGTGCTTCTACATCCTATCTCCCATATATATATATATAGATATATATATATGTATATATGTATGTATATATTTACATATAAATGAATATCTCTTTCTTTATTCTGTAAGCTGTCGTCAGGCGATTGCCTTTCATCGTCATTGGTCAATTTTGCCTTTTATTCGTAGGCGTAGGCATTGGTGTTTCTTCGGAAATCCCTATAATAATGGTACTCCCTCCATACGATGCTAATTCGTTTTCAGATTCTGTAGATCGATCAGCTGTTTGATGTTTTTTTAATGCATTTTAGGCTTTAAGCGGAGATACACCAGCGTCATACTGTTTTTGATATTGCCTTTAAAAAAAAAAAATAGATTAACCAATTGATAAACAGCTGATCGGACCAAACAGTTTTTTCGGATATTCTTCAGAGAAAATTCCTTTCAGGAAGCGCAGCCCATACGTCTCCTTCAGCATTGGAATTGCTCCAGTGGCGAAAACCCATGCTCTTACGTGTGTCCATGTGAAGCGCCCAATTTTAAATGATGAAAATATATTGGAAATCCCATCCATGGCGGCAGCTTATTGTACTTGCAATTTTTTTTTCTTACTTAATGCTAAATACGACAATTTGACTAGAGAAAGTGTTTAAATTTTTTAGAGAAATTATGTAAACTGATATAAACCCCCAACACACACAACACAGGCAGAAAAAGATAGGTAGATATTAAGAGAAATAGTTCTTAGCAAAATTGAGAACTTTCGTCTGTTTTTTTTTTTATGTATTTATGTATGTATCTACTACTATAAATGTGTGTGTGGAAAGAGAAAGAGCTGAGAAATGTAACATTAAAATTAAGTTTTAATCATTTTAGTTCTGTAAAGTACGGGGCAGATCGATCAATCAAACAGTCAGTCAGTCAACGTTAATGAATTATTGAGAATTTGTTGCATACTTTTAAACCGCTTCCCGCCGCCTCGCCCACTAGCCTCCCTAGCCAAGGCGACACCTAGAAGGATTTTCTCTGAAAAAAACCCATTTATATATATATAAACCAAATTATATATACGAAATACGTAGTTAGCGAATATTTGTACACTATTTGTATTTGTGTATCGCACTCGGAGAGGGTGGAACGGGTGGACGGCAGAGCGGTGTCCCATTTCCGGATCGAGGAATACCATACATAAATACATTATTTACATACTATAAAGCAAAACTCTCGTTATCTCTTGTGATCAACTCAGTTGTTGTTATGAAAATGATACAAAATGAAAAGAAATCGAAAACATTATTAAGTTGTATGGATGGATATGCATGCATGCAAGATGAAAGATCTGAAAATAGGCAGATGGACTTTTTCACATGTACAATATCGAGTAGCGAAACAAATGGAAAATAGAAACAATGTCAAAGTAAAGCGGATAAATGAATGCATACGTCAATGTATAGTACATTAAAGCTCTTTATAAAGATTATACACATACATGATGAATCTATATAAATATATATATCCGTATATATATATATATATATATAAATATATATACATATATATCTATCTATATATATATACGGATCTATATCTACTTATTGGTACCCATGTATATCTCTCTATTTTTGATGTCCAAATCAAAACTTCTGCAAATGAAAACAAAAACACTTTAGGAAACAAAATCGAAACGAGAATTCAAGGAGCAACTTTTTTAGTAGGATCAAAAAGGACAAAGAAGAACAAAGGAAGGGGAAGGAAAAGAAAGAAAAAACCGAAAAGTTGCATTCAACAAAGTAAAAAAATATTTTTATTGTCATTGCATAATTCTTAAGCTAGTAATATTAATATGTAAATCATAAGTGGCGAAAAACAAATAAAAAATGAAAAAAGAAGGAAACGCATGGAACGAAAAGGATAAAAGGATCACAGCCTAATAGATGACAAATGTAAGGAATGTAGCAAATCAAAAAAAAAAGCGGAAACAGAAAGCCAGGCAGAATAGTACACAAATAAAAATGAAAACAAAACAACAACAAAAATCAGTAGAAATTACAATATTGTTATAAATATTTGTCTCAATGAGAAAAAAAACAAACAAAAAGAAACGAAACGAAAGAAACAAACAAAACAAAACCAACAAAGAAAATAGACAAAAAATCAAAAATCAATAAAAAGAACTAAAAAGATCAATTTTTATATTTATTTTATAATTATTTATTTATTTATCTATTTATAATGTTGTAGAACCAAGGGCGTAACCAAGGGGGCAAGGGTGCTTCAGCAAGCTTAATAGTAAACAAAAAAATTACTATTTAATATACATTGCATATTTTTTTTAAAGTTTCTTTTTGTTATTAATCATGTTATGTGGTTTTCGAATTAATCCCTTTTCTTTACCACTACAGGTACATAGACTGCTATTTAATTTTCTCGACTAACTATGAGCAAAGGAACTTGAAAATGGTAGTGGGAAATGGTTTTATTGGTTTTAAAAATATATGAAAAATAGACGTAGCAGTGTTGGCACTCAGAAGGGCGACTTTCATCATCCTCTTTCACGCCGAAAATGCGTTGACTACTCAATTATTTGTTTGCTCAAATATTTCTCTCACAGTCTCACAGCATGATCTTTGGGTCAGGATAAGGCTAAGTGTGACCTAGGGTAGAAACTTAATTAGCAGCCCTCGTGGAAAAGCCTATAATTTCACTTTGCAAGTCCTCAGTTTAATTCGGTCGGAAGTGACATTAAATTAAATCAGAAATTTGAAGCACCATTTTAACAACGAAGGAAATCAGAACGCATTAGATGCATATATGTATGTACTTAGTTGAGACGCATATAACATATGTAGGTTTATATGACATTCATAGAATCCACATAGGTGAAGACTTTATCAATTATCTAGTTTATAGATGACTCGCATTTACTATATCTAAGCTGAGGTTCCATCTGTTTCTGCTAGTAATATGATATAGTAATAATTTCGTTCGAAATACGGAAAACAAGGGGTTTCTAGGTTGCCCAAGAAACGTCCCAACAAAATGTTTCTTCTAGATTCTAGATCGATTTACAATATCACGAAGAGCTTGTAGGAAATATGTTCCTATTTGTTTTGTCAGCTTTTCTGTCACCGATTTTCTTACTGATTGTATTACATCTCCATCGTTCTGCAGCCCCATCATCTATCCTGCTCCAAACCATGGGAAACTTCCGCATTGCTCTGTTATGCATCGGCATCTCCAGGCTGCACTGCAACGTTCCACATAGAAACGCTAAGCTTTTTAGCTCCGGTTGCCACGTTCTCTTAGTCCCACATAGCGGCACGACCATCCGACACGGATCCGTTTCACAGATTTAATTATAATTTTAAGTACTCACACACAATATATAGTACACACAGTAGCTACAAGATACAAATACGATGTACAGATAAACATACAAAAGTACGGTTAGATTCGAATGGCGAATTCAGAATTCAAATACGTGTAGATCAGTCCTTAAACGTTTCTGGGTTTTGGAGGAGCTCTGATCCCACAGCCTAGGAGATGAACAGGTAAAGAAGGAACATGCCGAAACCGACGTAGTGGCTGAGGTAGCCCGCCTCCGACCAATGCCACACGAAGGACTCCAGCTCGCCGGCGGGACTGCCCTCCAGATTGAGGGTTTCGTTGAGCAGCACGATGCCCAGATAGGCCAGGTGGAACATGGCGACCAGGGTGAAGATCAGATTGGTGAGCCTCACCAGCCAGCCCCAGCTGTTGGTCCAGCCACGACGTCGCGGGCAGCGGGAGAAGCAGCAATGGTCGGGGCCCTTGCACTGACCGGCAGCCAGACAGGCATCGAAGAGTTTGGCCAGGTGGCGGCGGAGCAGTCGCTCGCTCTCGGCGAAGATGGCCAGAAAGAGCAGCACCATGTAGATGCGCAGATCCATACCGTGCAGCAGACTGGATACCACATACGTGCAGAGGACTGCCCAGAATGTGTGGCCCAGGTTGTGCTCCTTGAACCCTCCGTAGATGTAGTGCTTGAGCCACTCGTGCATAGGGATATTCCAGCTGCGCACAAGGACGCTCAACGAGCGGGGCCACTCGATCTGCCAGGGCCGCGCCACCAGTGGCCCCAGTATTCTCTCGTCCAGCTCCTTGGAATCCTTAGATTCTCCGTCCAGGGTCTGCCCCGAGCTGACCAGCAGAGCCTGGGCCATAAAGCTTACGAAGTAGTGGCTGCTCCGGACGCCCAGCGCCTCCGTGTACATCAGGAGTAAGTGCGAGCCGCTGGCAATCTCGCCCAGGGCGTGGGCCAGGCAGTTGGAGACGGCCACCGCCAGCAGGCAGAGGAGCATGTTGAGCACCAGCTGGCGCAGCGTCGTCAGCCACTTGCCTCGTGCTACAAGGCACTCCACGTAACGGCCATAGCTGATCCAGGGGCCGAGGGCACAGGTCGCGGGGCTGTAAATGTATCCAAGGTAGGCTAGGGGTCCTGGCATTCGAGGCACCTGTCCGCTGGCCAGGTCGAAGCCCAGCGAGATCAGCTTCATGTTGACCACCATCTGAACGCCCCGCAGCTGGGGCCAGTCACTGCGCTGCCTCCATATGGCCAGTTCGTACAGGAACTGGCTGCCAACGGTGAGCACGGCTATGCTGGTGGCCGCTCTCCTCCCGCTATACACACGCACCAGCTGCAGCATAAGGTAGCCAAGGGCGCTCAGGATCAGCAGCAGACCCACGCGCTCGCCCAAGCGCTGCCCAAGCGTGGCGTATAGCAGGATCAGACCGGTTGTGGCGTGGATCAGGTGCAACGGAGCCACGATGATACTGTTCGCATCGCGTTGCGATACTCCGGCTGGCGGCAAGCGGCGCTTCCTGGCATAAAGCAGGCACAGCAGGCGTCCGACCAGACACAAGCCCAGCATGGGTGTCACGTACTTCGCTACTTGCAGCAGCGAAGGCTGCACGCAAGCCTCTATGTTCTGCAACAGTCGATCCATCACCAGGAAGTCCCTCGCCTCCGGCTTTGCATCACTGTATAAGTTATCCTGTTTGTGGCCAGAATAAAATCCGTAGTCGATATCGTCGCCAGCGTCCTCCCCAAACTCTGTGTAGTCGATGTCATATCCCTCGTCGTAGTAACTGTAGTCCATGACTGGCTGCGGCTAGCTCCAGCGACCGGCAAACAGCTCGGGACGGTCAAAAGCGCATTGGAGAACTGCTGTCAAAACGACTTCTGCCGCCGTCTCGCGCGTATCGATGCTGTCGATAGCTGTCTGGCTGCTGTGCTAGATGTTTACATCGATGTTATCGATGTGTACACAGCAGATATCGTTGGTTAGTGATGCTGGGCTCCCTTTGAAATTGATATCTCGACTGGTTCTCGAGGTTCGCACTAGTTCGATTAGAAAGAACATACATATCCATATGTAGTTTTATTGTGTTGCGCTTATTTTTGCTTGGAGGATTTGATTCATTGAAAACTTTCAAACTTCATTAAATTTTTGGGAAAATTATCTGCTCAAATTCGCATTGTTGTGTTTGTGGTCACTTGTGTTTGAAACAAAGCGTGTGCTAGGCAGTGCTGCAAGAATTTCAGAGTCAATATAAGGTAAGCATTAGACAAGGAGTAAATACACAAAAATAATAGCTTGCTTTGGGGTTTATTGTTGTTATTTAAATTAGCGATAAATTATTTGGCAACACTACCGACTCAGGGCAGCTTCAAGAGTAGTTGCATTTATATTATTATGCTTCTTTTGATACTTTGGTATTTGATTAAAAATGTTGCAAAATTGGAACGATGGGATTGGTTGCATTACTAAAAATGTTCACAATATCATCGGGTATTTTTTGTAGGCAGCATATTGTATATGTAATATGGTCAACAAATGGACAGGAAAGAAATGCAACATTGGAACATCACGAAAAAACTAGTTCCGATACTTTTTATGCAACGCAAAATAGGTGATTGGGGTTGTGTTGACACTGCAATCGAACTAGTTCCGAGTTCAACAAAACGTAAACCATTTGCTTGCCTTCATATATAAACATATCTGCGAGAAAACGAACTTAAAAATGACCCGACATGCTCGCAACTGCACGGCCGGAGCCGTTTATACTTACAATGAAAAGAAACGCGACGCCGCCGAGTCGGGTTACGGAACAAATGCCCAACGCCTGGGCAAAGACTCTGTGAAGTCGTTCGACTGCTGTTCGCTGACGCTTCAGCCGTGCCGAAACCCTGTCATTACCAAGCAGGGGTACCTGTTCGACAAGGAGGCGATCCTGCAGTACATCGTCACCAAGAAGAATGAGTACAACCGTAAGCTGAAAGAGTTCGAGCGCCTGCGACGGGTCGAAGAGGAGGAGATCACCCAGGAGGCCAATTGCAAGCAGCAAGCCCGCATGGAACGGTTCGTGAATTCCGAGAAGCCCACCACAACACCTGCCCACAAGTCCAGCCCAGTCGAGCAGCCCATCCTACCAGCGCCCAGCACTTCGGCAGCAGCCATAGCAGCCTCAGAGAATGGATCCATTTCGAACATGGCCAACGGGAACCAGAAGAAGCTGCCCGCCTTCTGGCTGCCCTCAGAATGCCCCAATGCCGGGGCAGCCAAGGCCAAGAAGCCTGATGCCACTATATACTGCCCTGTCTCCTCACAGCCGCTTAAGGTGAAGGACCTGATTGACGTGAAGTTCACACCGATCAAGGATGGCGACACAAAAAAGTCGCTGATTGCCAAGGAGGTGCGCTACATGTGTCCCATTACCCACGATGCGCTTAGCAACGCAGTGCCCTGCGCCGTCCTGCGACCAACGTAAGTTTAGACCAACATCGGGTTTAGCTTCTTTGGCTTCTTCTTCTTCTTTCTTACGAACTTTTGCGTATCTTTGCAGCGGCGATGTCGTGACATTGGAGTGCGTGGATAAACTGATCCGGAAGGACATGGTTCACCCGCTCACCGATCGCAAGCTCAAGGAAAAAGACATTATTCCCCTGCAGCGCGTGAGTGGAGATCAGACATTTCCGATTCTATATATATGTATATTTTATGTAACATTTTGTTTCACAGGGCGGCACTGGCTACGCAACCACCAACGACAAGCTGTCGGCCAAGGAGCAGCGACCCATGTTACAGGTCTAAGGTCTTGTCTACTCAAGATTCAATTGATAAAATGTATGTTTAAAAATTAAGCCTAAATTACTTTAAATTATCATTTTCTAAAGTCGTTGCCTCAATATTACATTTTACTCAATTATGTATCATATATGTAGTTTATGGATTCTGCGGTGATACCTTCTAATACGTTAATCTTCAAGGATATAGCAGTCGGAGTAGTCCCCTATATTTGCATAATTTCCCCAAATTTGTAGACCTTTAATGAAAGATCTACATTTAATTATTTCATTCATTAAAATCATTGAATAGGATTTGAATATCAATTTATATTAAATTGGAACCAAACATACACATACATAAACAAATTGTGATGGATTATTTCAGGCTGAGGTTCTTAAGCTGTAGTTAGGGGACCATTTTACAATAGGTAGAGAGAAGCTTTTGACAACGATGCCACTAGACGACGGGCTTCTGAGTTTCAATTTTCACTCGCTGGCCAGAAGGTGTTCGGTGTTACTTGGGTTTGATTTCAATTGGACACTGAACATGTTGAATGCTTCTTGCGATCCGCTGCGTGTCATGCCGCGAATGAATGTGGTGTGGTGGAGATCTCTGATTACGATCCTGCACCCTCACTTAGTTTGAAGTTGGTACGTGTATGACGGGGTGGTGCAATCACTGTCGCTGTAGTGGCGCTGCAAGATTCTGTAGGAGTCCACATCATTGCACATGATGCATAGTCCACCTGCTGGAGTTGTCTTCGGGAAGAATTTACCCACGGGGATCAGCTGCGAGATTTCCTTTAAAGTGGCAGCTATGTTGCTAACTTGAGGAAGGACTATCGGCGGCGGTTTGACTGGTCGCCCTCTGAGGCGCTGCTTGCGCTGTGGGGGCTCCGCGTGAGCGGCCAGCAGGATTTTGTTTGGTCGCTGCTGATATTCGCGGTCGCGTCGGAACTTGGGATGGTATGCCCAGGTCTTTTCGGGTGAGTTCCCTGGGCTCCGTGATCGTTACTTCATCGTCAGTTGACACGTCCATAGCACTCTGTGTTGACTGTGCTTGGGGTGACCTGACAACCTTTTTGGTAGCTTGGTTTGGGTCTCATGATTCTGGCGTTCCAGGCCTTTTGCCTTGCTTTTTGACTTGGTCATCACCTGGCGTGTTTGTACATATTGGCAGCATCCGAGGGGAGGCGATGGGCACTTTTTCACCTTGTGGTGGACTCACAGATGGCGATGGAACAGGCACGTTTGTACTTACATGCCCGCTTTCTGAATCACTGGACTAGGAGGGAAGTCGTTGCACTGAGTCGGCGCAATGCACATTTGCATTTTGTGATATGCTGATTAGGATGGGCCGTCAAGAGTGACTATGCCTGTGTCCGAATATCTTAGGAAGTAATTTCCCTTTCCCATAACCAGATCACATTGTTTGATCAATGTATTTTGACCGGGCACTTTACTTTCATGCACGTTTATTACGAGGGGCGACTTTCGGGCCATTTGCGGAAACTCAGAATGACGGTGAGAACAATGAAAAAATTGGTTTCACTTTTTTGTCCACTTATTGGTTTTTTCACGTTTTTATATTTAAAATTTTGTATTTTTATTAAAACATAACTTTTGACTTTGATCCTTTTTAATTTGGTCCTTGGATCCTTTTGATCCTTGAACCTTTGGTCCAGGACTAAAGGATTTTTGAATTGTTTTTGAATAGTTTTTTTCTTTCTTGTTTTCTTTTCTTGTTCTTGTTTTTGAATTGTTTTTTTTCTTGTGAGCCATACATATAAGCATATTTTACAAAATTTCCTGGCGCCAACTGCTTATTTTACATCTTAGATGTAGTGGCAGTGTTATTGGCAGAACAATGGAATGGGAAGGTAATACTAGATTACGGTAATGGTAGATATTCGCTATTTTTACATGTAGGTATTTGAGTGAAGAAAGTTAGGTAACACTAGACTTAATATTAACTTGTGTTTTGTTTACAGATTTGATTTTGTTTAACAACTATTTAGATAGTCCCCGCCTGCGGAGTGGGATCCATTATGAGTGGCGGCGCAAGGTTGGTCCGCGGTTTGGCTTCTGCATGGCTGAGGCGGCAATTGGCTGTCTCAATTTTGGACAGCTTATCTTCCAGGCTTTGTTGAAGCTGTAGCTCAGCTGTAGCTGGCTCACCGTTCTGTTCTGCCTGGGATTGCAGAAGCGAGATGAGCTTGTCCAGTACTGATTCCGCTGAAGTTGACATTGTTGTCATTATTTGGGGAGTTGTCTCTCCTGGGTCGATATGCGCTCTGGGAGCAATTTCGACTCAGGTGACTGATGATCTGCTGCTGCAATCATGAGCTTGGAGTGGGATTTCCCACAGATCTCGATCTTCTCTGTTGTTTTTGTTCTTGCTCCTGCTGCAAGGAGTGACCCTCCCTGGCAGCAGTGGCATAGCTCTTGGCCTGCTTTGATGGACAGGGTTCTTCTGCACGTGTACGGGAACGACTTTGCGTTGTGTGTGTGACCAATTTTTTGACATCGATGGCACTGGACGACGGGGCCAGAGCGTTTTTGGGTTTAAATTTTCACTCTTTGGCCACCCAAATTCGTTACGGTAAGCACATCTAAGTTATTTGGCTTTGGTTTCAACTGTACACTGAACATGTTGAATGGTTCTTGCGATCCGCAGCGTGTCATGCCGCGAACGAATGTGGCCACGTGTCCATGGCTGGCCAACATATCGGTGATGTAGTCGTTCTCCGTGGTATGGTGAAGATCTCTAATGACAATCCTGTACCGTCCCTCAGTCTGTAGTTGGTAGGTGTATGACGGCGTTGTGTGCGCTACATCCCTGTAGTAGCGTTGCAGTACCCTGTACGACTGCACATCACTGCACACGATGCGTAGCCCACCTGCTGAAGTTGACTTGTCTCGCACTCGCGCCAGAATTTGCTCTGGTATGCCCAGGCTTTCTCCCATGAGTTCCCTGGGCTCCATGACCATCTCTTCGTCATCAGTTGGCACGTCCATGGTACTTTGTATTGGCTGTGCTTTGGGGGAACCTGACAAACTTTTTGGTTGCTTGATTATGAAATTGGTGAAATAGTGCCAGTGCCTAGGCCCTTTGTAATGATTTACGCAACTGATATTATTTAAATACTTGGTTTGACTTTTATTATGCATGTTCTTAGCACTTTCTTCGGTTCTTTGTATTGTTTTTGGTGAGTCTGATTTACTGCGCGGGGTAACGTCTAGAGCCGGGTTTCTACTTAGTTCCTTTTGTCTTTGGCCGTCGACTACTTATACGTCCGCCTTGCTCTGGCGGAATTGAGCGTGCTTCCGTGTAGGGCTCGAATTTCGCCGATTCCGCGAGCGTGGGTTGATCTGGTTTATACATCTCCGACTGGGGGTCCCTATTTCGGCAACTCGGCGGGTTTGCCATTGGTGCTTGCCATTATTATTATTCATTTTGATATTTTACATCCTCTCTTTTAAAATTTTAAGTTTAAACTTAAGTTTAGATAAAAATGTATGGAATTAAGCAAACAACGAGGGGGAACGTTGTGAGTTGAGGCGGACACCGCAACTCTACAGTTATACCCGATACTTAGTCAGTATGGCTCTCCTCCGGCAGACGCCGCGAATATTAAACGACACGACAAAGAATGCGTGCGAGAGAGACATAAAATCAGTCTGAGCATGACGTCGGACGCTGCGTAGCCAGTGCAAATTGATTTGTTCCTTTTGGCTATACAAATTATCTGGTCTGATCCAGATTCAGCAATCTGATAGATATGGTCGTTATCTATGATTCTGCGTTTTTAGTTTTCTCGTATCCTCAATATTGGGGATGCAACATTGGGGCGAAATTTTGAGATATACGTTTTATAGTGAGATCTAACAGGAGTGCGGGTACCAAATTTGGTTACTCTAGCGTTAATAGCCTCTAAGATTTGTGGATGCCCCAGATTTTCGTCCTTTGCGGGGGCGGAAGGGGGTGTGGAGAAATTTTGACACAAAACGGTCAAGGTCCGATATCACAGGAGTGTGGATACCAAATTTGGTTGCTCTAGCTTTTATAGTCTCTGAGATCTAGGCGCTAATGTTTTACTCTAAGCAAAGCCGGCTATGCTACGTGTGTGTTAGAGAGAGACAGGGCGAGAAAAAATGAAATTGTTTTCTTGATGCTGGCTATAATAATAATACGATCCAATTCTGCAGTCTAAAAGATATGGTAATTTTCTACGATTCTGCGTTTTTGGTTTTATCGTATCTTTAAAAATGTGGATGCCACAGATTTTCGTCCTTTGTGGGGGCGGAAGTGGGCGGTGCGAAGTTTTGAAATATTTTTGTAGCAGTGACATATCACAGAAGTATGGATCCAAAACATCGTTGCTCTAGCTCTTATAGTCTTTGAGCACTAGGCGCTGAAGGGGACGGACAGACGGACAGACAGACAGGGCTCAATCGACTCGGCTATTGATGCTGATCAAGAATATATATACTTTATGGGGTCGGAAACGATTCCTTCTGGACGTTACACACATCCACTTTTACCAAAAATCTAATATACCCCAATACTCATTTGGAGTATCGGGTATAAAAAGCTGTACAAAATATTAAATCTATTAATCAAGCGTATTTAAATCTTTTAGCGACTAGTGAATTAATTATAAGGTACAATCTTGTGCCACTATGAATATTAAATAAAAAAAAAAGTGCTTAGCATGTTTTTATCGACTTCTAAATCGGACATTTCCTCGTCGTACTGCAAGTACTTCTGGTCACTTTTAGAGGAATTTTTATACCCGATACTCGAAATGAGTATAGGGGTATACTCGTATTATATTTGTGCTGAAAATGGATATGTGTAACGTCCAGAAGGAAGCGTTTCCGACTCCATAAAGTAAATATATTCGATAGAGCCATGTTTGTCTGTCCGTCCGTCTGTCTGTCCCTATGAGAGCCTAGTGCTCAAAGGCTATAAGAGCTATTTTGTATCCATACTCCTGTTAGATCTCACTGTTACAAGTGTAGTTCAAAGTTTTGTCCCACCCCTTTGCGCCCCCGCAAAGGACGAAAATCTTTGGCATCCACAATTTTAAAGATACGGGAAAATTTAAAACGCACAATCATAGAGAATAACCATATCTACCAGATTGCCGAATCTTGATCAAATCGGATTATTATTATAGCCAAAAGTAACAAATCTCTCGCACACATTTGTTGTCGCTCAATGTTACACGCCGTCTGCCAGAGGAGAGCCATACTGACTAAGTATCGGGTATAAATGTAAACACAACGTTCCCTTTCGTTAAGTCTCGATTCCAGGTAATTGACAAATTTTAGTA